AAGGACGAGGATTCCGACGTCCGAAGAGAAAGAGGAAGAGGAAGAAACCAGCGAAGACGAGGACGAGCAGCTGGAGGACAGGAGGAGGAGGAGGAGACAGCAGTGAGGAGGACAGCGACGAGGAGGAATCCGAGGAGGACGGCGAGGACAAGGCCAAGGCTGCGGTTGCTCAACCTGCCGCTGCTACGTCTGCTTCTGTTGCCACGCCGCCCACTGCCCCTGCTGCTGCTGCTGCTGCTCCACCTGCTCCGAAGCCGGTAGAGAGCGCAAGTGAAAGTGATGAAGAAAGCGAGAGCGAGAGCGAGGAGGACGATGACGACGACGAGGTAGAACAAGTCAAGAAGTCAGCAGCAGCAGCGCCGGCTTCGGCTGCTGCGACTGCTGCGCCGACAGCGGACAAGTAGAGATGGGGATGCACGGGTTGAACAGGTGTGTCTTCCCGATTGCTTGACTGGGCGGCGTTACTCGGAGAGGCAGGGTGTTCTCTGTTCGGCCTACAGCTTAGGTCTGCCTATTTGTTACTTGACGTTCACTGTGAGTTGAATTCAACACGAATAAATGGCCCACTCAATGCCGTCAAATTTGCCAGCCTCGCCAATGTCTTCTACATCCGATTCATATCAGTACAGCTCGTCATCATCATCCGCCGTCCCGTGCTGAAAGGCAGCTTTGCCCTTGCCCTTGTTGACGCGGCCGTTGGGGGCTCGATCCTCGTCATCGTCGCTGTCCACCGCCAGCGCTTTCCCCTTGCCCTTGTCCCGCGCTGGCGCCTTGCCCTTCCCTTTGGAACTGGCGACCGACTCGCCAGATACGGCCCTCGCAGCACCGCCGCCTGGTCTCGTGACGTCAGCCCCCTGTCCTTCCTTCTGCGCCGGGCCCTCGAACGACCGCCTCATCGTCTCATACCGCGCCAGCTCGCCCGCGCTGACGGACGGCACGAGCTCCCTGTCGGCGGCGAGGAAGTCCTCTTCCGTCACGACGACAGCAATATCCTCGGCCGTGGCGTGGTGGTCGAAAAAGTTGGCCGTCGAAATGGGGTGCTGGTCTGGGCCGCGTGCTGCGTTGATGGCCGCCACCTTGGCGTCGACGGACGACGTCTGGCGTGTGATAGCCTTGAGCATGGCGTCGCTGCAAAGAGCGTAGTAATCTGCGCCCGTGTAGTGGTAGGGCAGCTGGGAGGCGACGCGATCGAGCGAGAGTGAGGGATGGAGGGTGAACCTGGCCACTTGTTAGCTGGTCTGGTTTTCCTGGCTGGGATGGAGCCAAAAATAAAAGGGAGAAAACTGGGACTGGGATAGACTGAAGAACATACTTGCGGGTGACAGCCTCAAGGATCTTGAGCTGCGTCTCCCGCGTGTCGGCTACACTAAGGTACAGCATCTTGTCGAAGCGGCCTGGTCGCAGCAGTGCCGGATCCAGCAAGTCAGGCCTGTTGGTCGCGCCAATGACGAAGACGCCGCCGCCGCCATCGCTGCCGCCCGACATGCCGTCGAGCTCAGCGAGGAGCTGCGACACGATGCGGTCCATGACGCCGCCACTGTCTCCCTGGTTGCCACGCTTGGGCGCGACCGAGTCGAGCTCGTCGAAGAAGACAACGCAAGGGCGCGCGTCTCTCGCCTTTTGGAAGACGCGGCGCACGTTGGCCTCCGACTCACCAATGTACATGTTGAGCAGCTCGGGGCCCTTGACGCTGAAAAAGTTGAGGCTGTACTCGGTGGCGATGGCCTTGGCGAGGAGCGTCTTGCCCGTTCCGGGAGGGCCGTAGAACAAAATGCCGGAGCGCTTCTTGAGCCCCTTGGCGAACAGCTCCGGCCTCTCGAGGGGCAGTTGGATAGTCTCCTTGACAGCGTCCTTGACGTATTGCAGGCCACCCACGTCGTCCCAGGTGACGTTGGGATCTTGGGTGCGCCAATGGCACCAGCAAAGTTCTTGCGGGCCTTCTCCACGGCAACGTCAAAATCGGTCTTGGTCACGCTGCGTGCTGCAGGGCATCCGGTGGCTTGTGGTCCGCCCGAAACTTCGACGTCCCTGACGGTCACAAGTCGGTTGTCGCTCGAAGCCTTTCTTGACATGTCCTCCAACCGCAGGTTGCGGGCGATGCGAGCCCGCTCCACCGCGTCCACCAATCCGCCTGCCACAAAGGCAGCCGTCTTCAGCGCAACGCCAGTGATTTCAACGTCGAGATCAAGGTCGAGTCCCATATCATCAACAACGCTCTTTAAGATGCCTGCTCGTTCGACCTCGTCAGGAGCGCCCATCTCAAGTTCGTATGTGAAGAGACTGCGCAGGCCCTTGGGCAGCTTATCGACGTCATTTGTCGTCGCAATCAACACCCTCGACTCCTGGAGTAGCCCTTTCATCGTCGACACCATGCGGTCTGCCGTCAGGCCCTCAATGTGCTTGAACAGCAACACCGTGCAGTCGGCGCCACAACTCAGGCCACGCTCCGCTCGAGCTTTGAGGAATCCTTCCGTCTTGACGTCGCTGCCGCTCCCTTCTGCCTCGCTCAGCAGGTCGTTGGCGTCGATGGGATATGTGTGAAGTCCGACATCGGCACACGCAGTGGTGGCTACCGTCGACTTGCCAATGTAGCGATGCGTCGAGGTGAGAAGGATGGCAACCGGTGACATGCGGCCGTGAATGGCGGCCGGACTGGTCGCCGCCGCCAGGAGGGCCTGCAGCCTGTGTCTCAGGGGCGAGATGTAGCGTTGGTCTTGCGAAGGGAGGGCCGGTGTGGGCGCGGCCAGTGATCGGATGGGAGACTTTTTAATGCCAGTGTAGTATTCCCAGGTGCTAGACAAGCTGGCGGGGGGGCGGGCCGTGACAAAGCCTGACAGGTTCATACCGACCGTCTCGCTGTCTATGCAGGCCACGCC